GGCTGCGGTGCGGCGCCTGCGAGGTGCGTGTGGTTGCGTGGTTCGTCACTCTGAGCGCGCCTGGCCCTCTATTCCTCTTTGTTGCGCCTTCCTCCCTGCTCGAGCTCCGTTGTGTCCCGTGCCCCGTCCTCATTTATGAAACTGATACTTTGGTAAAGCTGTTCCACAATAACCCGTCATCACTAAGGGGCTTTCCTGTTTATAAAATTGATGCTTAGGTGAAGCTGTCCCGCAAAAGCCCGTCATTAGGCTTCACTAATTATGAAACTGATGCTTAGGTAAAGCCGAGAGCTAATAAGTTCCATGAAGTGAGCAAGAGCAGGATAGACTAGATGCACGGGGATGAAGTCATCCTTCACTTCTGTGAGATTTGAAAACAAAAAAATAGTGGTATAACTTTTGCGTAGAGTTGCAGACTGCGGGAGTGTTGTCTGCAATTCTTGTGTAAATCCAGTCGAACTTATTTGCCCTCAGCTTCACCTAAGCATAAACCTCATAAATGCTGGACCGTTTATCTGTTCGCATAAACTAAGTTTTTGTTTGTTTTTCGCCACAGGCTCCAATTTTTTGGTTTTGCTTTTTTTTCTTTTATTCGCAAGCTTAAGTTTAATTTACTTCTCTTTGTGGTGCTGTATTGGTTTATTTTCCTTTTTACTGCTGCTTGCAGTTCTTGCTTCGTACTTCTGACTAGTACCCTTGTTCCCATCCTGTATCCCGTCCCCAATCCCTGTCTCCAGAGCCGCATCGGAGCATCCACCACCTCCAATCACCGTCACCGTTTATCGTCTTGAATTCCTAATCAGCAACTTCATTCCTCCCCACCATCCTGGCCTCAATCGCGCCCTCTGAGCTCTTTCTGGGCAACTACCAACCAACACCCTAACCACGCCCAATCCTCCCACCCATGCCCCCCGGCCACGCGATCCAGCCGCCAGACACTGGGCAGTGCTGCCCAGCGCATCTGGCAAAGTTCCAGTGAGCGATGCCGCAAAATAATGTTGACAGAGACGTTAGAGTAAAGCGCTGGAAAACTCAAACGCCATCGATCATCAGCCGAACCGAGTTTTTGTAATTGTCAGTTCCTCTGAGCTCGTTTGTAGGAGATGCTTGACCTCGGGTTTTCCAGTTCCCACGTAGTAATCTCTTTTTAGCACCTTAGTAAGTGCTGGGTCTATAGAATTGCTAAAGTTTAATTTTGTAATGCACTGTCAACAGAAAAAAAATCCCCATTTTTCCGTTGCTATCATAATCACCTAAAAATAGCTACTCAAGCTGAATTTAGATTTCTTGCTTCATGGATGGTTTTATGATCTAATTGATTTAAGGAATCGTATATTGCAACCTCTCCTCCTTTCCTCTTTCCCGTGCCCTGCCTGTACTTCTATCCAGTCTTCCTCTGCCTGTTTTTCTTAAAAGAACTCCTTTTTCAGTATCCATCACCCTGTGTGTTTTCTGTTATTTTTTGAGAATGCTTATGCTCTGACTTAGCCGATTTCCAGAGGCTAGTTTGACGCAGTGCAAGTTCTGTATTTTTTTTTTTTTTTCATTTTGATCCTTCGGAATCTTCGATGTATATAAAAGAAGACAATCGGTTGCCCTTGTTGCGTACCACTTGTAATAAATTATAAATTTTCAATAAACTATAACGCATGTTACTTTTGACTTATTGTTTTGCTGCTGTTTCTGATCAGAATTCAAAAATATCAGTCGGATTTTCTCTTCGAGTCATGCAAAAATTTACATTAGTCCCTTACTCATTCGACCTTAATTTGTATTATAGTCACTGTGAGAATGAGAAATACGTGAATAAACACTGTATCGACTTCCTAATTGTCGAGAAGAGAGGAGGGGGAGGGGAAAGAAGGGGGATTCAAAAATACCAAACTTTCTCTCCGAATCATCTAAAAATTAGCATATAGTCCCTTACTCATTCGATCTCAATTTGTAGTATACTCACTGTGATAATGAGAATAAATGGCAACGCGCACCAGACTAGCCGGTGCGATCATGCGTTTTGTGCAATTCAGCCTATCGAACGATTGCCTGTTAATGATTTTCACTGCTTTGTACTTTAGTCTATGCAAAAATAGTTCAAACTTTGGG